GCCTAGAAATATGACATCTTAGGCCAGGAGATCTCTTCAATTCTAAAAGCCCATCGTAGTCCAACGGACTCATATTCGGACCAGACCCTGTCCAGTCAGCCCCTGTAGGTAGACTTGTTTGTTATGTAATCTGGATGACAGGCTTGAGGTCTGTTTAGCTGCGGGTCATTTTGACGGTGAGTTGACACCTCAATGAAGGAGTTTCTGCATCAACTCAAATACTCCTTGCTTGCGCTCTCTTGGACAAGGGGCAATACATTTGTCATTACCAGGCAACGAGACGGACATCGGGACGACTTGACAACCGAGTGCCTTCGACACGCATGTCTTTCACGTTCTTGACCACATCAGGAAAGGGCAAGACGTTATCCCATCACTTCGCAGTCTAGCTCCGCAACTTCTTCTTTAGGACTTGGAGAGCAGATCCAGGGGTGTTTTTGCGAGTTATTGCACATCTGCATATCCTTTTTGCTGGGCTTCACTCACGACCGGCATTGAGTTGAGTATTGACAAGATGTACCAACATCCCTGTACGAGTGAGCATGCAGGTGGCGGCTGGGCAGAGCTCGTTTATGATTACGGGTGCCGCCATTCACAACCAACTGGAACACTGTCGCGGCATGAGAGCAAGACGACACCATCAGGCGCCCTTGTCGACCGTTCCAACAGGTTTATCGCGGGAAAATAAGCAGTATGCCCCGCGAAGTCGAGCATGGCGCAGGTGTTGTTGTTGGACTGTCCCTCGACGAAGCGGGCGAGGTGTGATTGAGTCGCATGCCAGCCAATCACCATTACGAACCCCCCTGTTATAAGCGCCTCGTGGGACTCGCGGCTTGGCCCGACTCGACCGACGACCACTCGTTCTTCCGGTAGCCGCCCATGACGGCGGCTCAAATTCAATAGCGTTCGGCCAGACTTATACACTTTTTGCCGCAAGAATCGACCGTTTTTCAACTTCCTGCCAATATTACCAGCGAATCTCGCGCGGAAAGCGTACCCTTTCTACTGCTGCAGATGGTCAAATTGCAACGCAAGACTTCGATAGCGGTCACTCGACAGGGGTGCTTGGGTGTTAGTCTCCTCGACAGGACAGTATGAAGAGGAGATCAAGGAATCCGTAGGTCTTGACCGGGCATGCGGGCATGGTCTAGATGGCATCTGCACCTTGTCGGTGCCCATCACCAACCGGATGTCATCAGCTCCTAGCGTTGATGAAGCATATGCGGAAGGACGGTTCCGTAGGAGACGGACTGCGGATGTTGTAGCGGTCAAAATCGTTCTATGAACCGTTGATCCCGATGTGAGTTACCTCGATTGTCCTGCCCCCTATCCGTACCAAGACCACATCAACATGGTACTAACCCTGATCAAGGGTGGATATCATTCATCACAGCCCGCGGATGGGTATGCCTCTCCCCCCTGACGAAGGCTTCCACACACCTTCTAGGAACGGAAAGGAAGCTGGACTGCCACTACGCATCCCTGGAACGATTCTCGCGAAGTCCCTTTCTTCGTACAGTACTTTGGCCATCCACACGCAACATTCGCATCATGTGTCCACTAATGCAAGTTGGAATCACCCAAACTGCGGCACATTTGTGACGAAGCTTTGAGGGGAAGAGTTGCAGCAGCAGCAGCAGAAGCAGCAGGCAGGCAGTGAGATGCCTTCTCGTGTTGGTGGCAACACTTCGTCTTCTCATGCAACGTCTCGATGCTTCCCCCCATCACCGCTTCTTTCACACGCCATACACACCACTACTGCCCATGTCGTGCTACCTCACGCACCGCAATCACCTCTCTCTCCATGCCAGGGTTCACGATGGATTCTGCGGGCGGCCCGCCGGTCGCATACGAGGCAGGCTTCAACACCCTTCTTCGCCAACTGCCTTCGATAGCTTGCCTTGAAGCTCGATCGAGAAGCGGAGTCGTATCTGTCGACTTCAAGGAACCCTGGCTCTCTTGCTCTGGTACGACGACCTCCGTTGGAACACCCCCTCTAAGATTGCAGAAAGATATCGCGCAACAGACTGGGCCTCTTGGGGAAATGATTTGCCTCCTGGAGCTGCGGTCGAGGAGGGAAAGAACACGTTTGCGGAAGAGGGGATGAGAGTACCTTCGGCGCGGATGAGAGATGAGAGACGAGGAGAAAGGGGGGGACGGTGGAACGAGGCAAAGGTTTGCCTCGGAAAGGCTCGCTAGAGTCTGGTCCCAAAGTCAGCATTTCTTTGTCTCCAAAACCCGGGCTGTGTTTGAAGGCAGCAGGAAACAAGGCATTGTCCAGAGAAGTCTTATTTGAAATACGTCAGGATTTGCCCTTCTTGTTGTCGAAAGAAAGTCTGGCAAACATGACGAGCGAATGGGTCGAAGGAGGCGGTGTCTGTTCCTTGATGGCAAGGAGTAAAAGGTATGAAAACCTCTCAGTTCGTTTCTCTTCACCATCCAGAACACAGGATGCCGTGGTGTCTCCCTTCTCCTCCGGCGTTTGCCTCATTCTCCCTCTCGTTTTCTTCTTTACTCTTCCTTTGCCTTTCACATTGAAAGACCTCTGTCTGTCCAAGCGGGATTGGAATATCATCAGGGCTAACACAAGAAGAAACGTTTGAAGTCAAACGTTGATCGCGGGGAAAATACCAAACAATGAGCAAGGCACTCACTCGTTGGACTGCACCCCGCGGAAGGATCAAAATGCTATTGCTAGAGAATATGCAAGCAAAGGCGATCTCAGGATTTTGCCTTCTTCCCTCCCGAAACGCCCGTTGAATCCTACGAACTACACACACCACATGGGACATGGCTGAAGGGGCAAAGACAAAGCCAAAAGGATCTGAACCCGCCCGCGCCCTCGCGCCGCGCCGCGCCGCGCCACAGCGTGTGTGTGTGCTTTCCCGCCGGGGCACAGCAGGAACCAACGGGCGGGTTCAAGCCAGCGGCACGGCGGTGATGACGGGCCGGCTAGTCTCGGAGTGTTGTGTCCACTTTGCCGCAGACTGTGTCCGGCCGAGTGCGAGACAGGTAGAGTATGATACCTACGGTTGGATACATTGTACCGAGGCCCAAGAGGAAGATGGGGTGTTCATTTCTTGTTGCCAACCATGTGCGGGGGAGAGCGACAGAGAGAAAGAGAGAGAGGGTGTTGCCGAAGGTTCTCGGATGCGGAAGGATGAGGAAAGTCACGGCGCTGAAGGTCCCCGGCGTCCCCCGCGATTTCCTCCCCACCTCGGCGTCACATCCGAAAGGGCCCATGCAGTGACGTTGGCTCCTTTTCCCCGGATCATGAGATGGGCACTTTGTGGTCGGGTTGTCTTGCGATGGATCTGGGTTTCGTTCGTTGTTGCCCATATAGGAAGGGATGGAGGGAAGGCCCCAGCGCCGGTTCTCGTGGTCCCTTCCGAGAAATCCTCTTGCGGCCTCCGACGCGGCCAATGAGGAGCCACCCGCTCCACGGGACCCGGGGGCAAGAACCTTGGCCCCCTTCGGCTTCCTCTTTTACTTTCCCATTCCATTTTCGAACGACGTTGGAGAATTGGGAAAGAGCCTCAATTGGGGCCGACCGAGGCTTTCTCCACTTTCCCCGGATATTCCAGTTGTTCGTGATATCAGATCTGGTGATGGCGAGGGCATTCACAACACAACCACAAACTTCATCATCTCTTGCAGGTTGCGGCAAGCCTTCGCGCCTTCCATGTTCCCCACGCCCACTCACGACTTTGGAGTACCCACACTCTGCACCAACCCCCTGCGCTTTTTGTGCTTTACTTATTTTTATTTTATTCGCAGCGAGTTTGCTTTTTTTCGCGGCGGCGGCGGCGGCGGCGGGTGTCTCGTGTTTTTTTTTTCTCTCTCGCTTTCAAGCGCACCAACCCCACGTCAGCTGCGGATAAGGCAAGAGAGACTCGAGCATTTCTCACATTACTTACAAACTTCTCCAGCGCTGCTGTCGCGACACGGAGCTCAGCCAATTACGGGCCCACGTGCAACGTTGTTCCCGCTTTGGAAGCTTCAGGATGTCTCTAGCTTCTGGGTCTAGATACAAGTTTCTAGAAAAGGCCACCAAAATAATTATCCAAACCCTCCCAAACAAGGGCCGATTTGATACTTGGTTGATAAGGGTTTCGGAAGCGACCGCGCGTAGAGGCCCGTATTTCCTCTTTATTTTTGTCCCATTTGGTTCCTGCTTGTCTCTGGACCTGGACTATCTCGAGGACTTTGATCCGAAAATCTCATGCTTCTTGGCGGGTTTAGGAAACTTCTCTAGATCTAAATGCGTGAAGCAAAGTCGCAATACGCCCCCCATGGCCGCCCCAAGCAGTGACTGAGAGTTGAGACGCTCGGATGCCCAACCCCCATCCGTCTTGTCGCAGAACACCTCAATTCAAGCGCGATAAGGTCGAAAGCGGAGCCCATTCGCATAGAAACACACCTCAGCAATATCAAAATTTAGATCTCTTGGCTGGACGAGCTTTTTGTTTGAGAAGATCAAAATGCAACACCATCCCGGTCTCGCGCAAGAGTCTTCGGTCTAATTGATTCGTACCTTACCCAAGGCACCTTACTAGCTTGTTCTAATACCCACCGCAAAGAGTCTCAGTCAACTCTCTACGACGACGGGTACGGAGTATGGACATAACAATAACACATCATTTTTGCCCGTGCATGTGTCATGGCTTTTGAGAAACGCCAGATCCCGGCATTTCCTATTTTGTGCAGTGCCTGCCTGTGTTCTGAGCTTGTGACTATGGTAATGCCCGCCGCATTTCACGCCCTCCTCTGACTCTTCACCATGGCGTTACCGTAACATGATGTCTGTGGTCTGTGTCTCTCTGCATCGCCTGCTGCGTCGTCCAAACACAGTCGCCCTCTGCCCAGACGGCCGATCCGGGAGATGCACCTTTGGTGCGTACGACGCGCGCCATACACAATTTCTCATTTCTTGACAAGAGTAGTGTACTCCGGACGATAGGCAGCGTGCGATACGATACGATGCGGTGACCTTGCCCCTCCCCCTCCCTCCCTCCATGTCCATCGTCCGTTCCCCCCCTTCCCTGTCCTGTCCCCCTTCTCCATCTGCGACCGAGGACCCCCAGTATCAACCTTTTTTTGTTTTTCTGAGCAAACCCGGCTTGAGACGGCACCCACCGTGTGACCCGGCAAGCCACCCGTCACCTTACCTCTGAAGTCTTGCCCGTGGGCCGGGTGGAAGGGGTAAGGTGGTGGTCTGCGACCAGGTCAGCCAAGCTCACACCTCCCGTGTCCTCCGGTGCAAATCCAAACTTATAAAGTTGGACGGCCCTCCCCTCCCATCCGTTACCTCTCCTTCTATCTGTATCCCAACGCTCTCATCCTTCCTCGACTCTACTCGCCAAAACTCTCAGTGTCTTTCAAAAGCAGTTGATCTGTTCTCCCACACGCCGATTGCCAACTCTCGCAACCAAACCAAATCCACACCAAAACACAACCAAAAAAACAACATATACAAAATGTCTTCTCCCGTCGACAACTCCGTCTTCCTCTCCCTCGCCCCCACCACCTCGTCCTCCTACCCCTTCAGACAGCAGCAGCAGGCCGCCGCCACCACCACCACCACCGAGCCGGCGCCCCTCAAGCGCCGCACCTCGAGCATGAGCAGCGACGGCAGCAACGGCCTTCGCTTCCTCAAGCTCGGTCCCGTTCACTACGGCGAGCACCCCGACGAGCACAAGTCTGACTGGCACCCTGCTCTCCTGGGCTAGGTCCGCTCATTCAACGATGATGATGATTCTTCTTTTTTGAATTGTTTTCCTTTCACATCATTAAAGCAAGCCAAAATTCATGATTTTTCCAAATCGCATCAAGCCAATCAAAGTCTGGATACCAAAGGTGCAGGAAACCAACAAGGCAGTTTGTGCCCAAAAACAAGCGACTAGACGAGCTAAGGGGAGCTCTGGGAGGATGAGCGAATAGGCGCTGGATCTTTTTTCCATTTTTTTTTTTTTTTCTTTTTTACACATCATTGAGTACAACACCTGAAGAAAGTAGGGCAGATTGTCTCTTGGGCCGGGATGAACAACTTCACAACCCCCCATTCGGTTATAGAGTCTTGGGGAAACGGGACGGAACACGGGACCAATTCACACAAAAGAAGAAGAAAAAAATACTAAATTGGAGTTTTTGACGGAAACAAATCATCGTGTGAAGATTTGCTATGCTTGCATGTGCTGAGAATCCTATTGTGTGAGTCTGGTACGATTGCCAAAAGCCACTGAACTGGACCGGACCGGTCTCTTCTCTTACAACATACAATCGGCAACAAGCGGGTGAAGAAGAAAAAAGTCGTCATGCAGCCCAGATTACAGAGAGTTGGAGGGGCATGGTGGTGTGGTGGGCACATCACCTCAAGTCTCTCTTCGGCTGTGCCGCATTCTCGGGAAGCCTGCGAGTAGGTACATCACACATTGCCGGGCTACGCGGATCAAGGGAAGGGAAGGAGGAAGGACTTTGAGGAGCGAGAGCGACATGGGGTGGGAAGAGAGAGCCAGAGGCTTGGAGCTGTCAAAGTCGGGGGTACACCAACTCGCCGAGACCTTCCCTGCTCTCTGAAGGTTGCTTGGAAATACAGTCATTGTAACATGACTATCTTTACACGCACTTACAGGTTCCAGACGGAGAAGAGAAAGAATGGGAGTGCACAACAGAGAAGGGGAGGGGAAGGGAGCAAAGACCAAGCTTCTGCGATGTGGGCCGCTCTTCATGCAATGATCTGACATGCTAAACCGAACACCCCGGCTGACCAAGGTGGGATAAGTGGAATGCAGTAGAACGCGTCGTGTCTTGTTAATCCGGGCTGGCGGATTGGGGAAATGATTGCTGATTGTGCAAAGACAAAAAGTCTGGGGGAGAGACAGCTCATCGGCACACCCATTGATTTGCGAGACCTCTCAAAGGGTGTGGGGTGATGGTTTTGATTGGAGTAAGCCGGCACGGTTTTTGCCTTGATTTGCGCAACGTTGGCGTGCGTGGAATGATAACGAACGAACAGAAACGCAAACGTTGTTGCTGTCGAGTGTCTGCCCTATTAATTACTTGGAACTCGTTACCAGGACGAGAGTGCGCGGGTGGAATGGAGGGGGAGGGGGCACCGATGGTCGATTTCCTGGGAGGCGGGGGAGATGAGATAGACAGACATCTGCTTTCGACGAGACGCGCGTGGGGTAGAGACTGGGTATCACGACCGGGGTGTCGCGGTGTGTTGATTTCCTGGTCTATGCCGAGGCTGAGCGGGTTCGATAGTTTCACAAACTAGTTTTCTCCCCCTTCTCTTTGATCCTTTTGGTGATTCTTCTCAATTTTCACGATGTGCCATAAAGGTGGTGTTGTTGTAGGTGGTAATTATGACGTGCAAACTTGGCGTGGGTAGAGAAGGGTTGTATTAGAGTCTTGTCTAGTCTAGAGTTTCTCTATGAAAGGGGGGGGAAGGGGACTCGGGAGAAGGGGGGAGGTTGCTAGCACCTGGAGTTTAATCGCAGTCGCGCAAGAGACTCGGACTTGGCTCGCAAAATTTCTAAGTAGAGGGTCCTACTGCTACAGAGTGCCAGAGACAATTGAGAGAGTTTCGGAGACGACTCTGGCACTTATGCGGACGTCATATCTGGTTCGCCTGTCTGCGAGTCAAGCTCTTATCTTGCGTTACTGACTTGGGGTTTACCTTGCTCTATGGTCTACCTTGCTTCCTATCTAGTCTGGCAACTTTGGCTAGATTGTTTGGGACGGGCGCCCAATCTGCCCTTTTGCACACACACGTCTCTCTACTGGCATGTTTTGTTTGCCGGCCTCTGCTCAATCTCCGACACGCTGGTCACCTGTCAATGTTGTCAGGTAAATGAAGAAAGCGAAAAGGTTTAGGTGGGACGAGAAAGGAAGATCGACGGGGCTTTGCATCTGGCATGTGACCGCCCTTGGCAGGCCTGCCGAGTCCTTCAACCCTGCTTCGCAATTACCGCTTCTGGAAAGTCCTTGGGCTTCAGGTTTGATACAACCCGCGACTGAGTCGAGTTGAGAGGGTTAGCACCGAGGCCACCGTAGGCGAGGAAGAGATGGGCGAGAGGCTCTACGGATGTTCCGTGGATGATACAATCTGAGCCTCTGTTGACGTCACGAACGATGATGAGACGAGTTGTGTGCCTGCCTGCCTGCTTGTCCAAACATGTGCTGGTACTCGTTGGCATGTGGCATCTTATCTGGGACTTGACGACTGTACCTATCAAGGTGTCCCTTGAACGGCGCACAGAGATGCTGAAAGGAAGCAAGCAGTGGGCAACTCGATATTGGGGGGGTTTCGCAGTGTACCTGACCAGTCGGGGGGCAAAGACAGCGTGGCAGGCCAACTCGAGCGGCCAGCGGGCCGGGCCCGGCCCTCCGACACGCGCCAAGATTGGACGGGACGAAAGATGTGCAATGCCGGCCGCTTGTCGTCCCAAGTCTACCGTTCCTCCTTGTCTGATGATTTATCGAAATAGTAGCAAGCGTTTACAGCGAGGTGCACGGTAGTCCGTCCGTACGGTTACAGCCGACCAAAGAACCTACAAGTAAGCTGAAGCGCGATGACCAGGAAAAAGACGCTATAACCACTGGAAGGCCCCCCGGGACAGCAGCCGATTCGTGAGGTTCCACGCCAAGCTGACTTATTGTTCGAGCGACAATGACAATTGGGGGGCCCCAAACACTGAGACTCGAGAGAGCCAGAGCGTGGGGGGGCTTTTTTCTTGGGGTGGGATGTATTGCTGATCCACAAGGTTGTGAAGCAATCTATCATCTTGGCGGTTTGGATGCGCTGGCCCTCTGCGAAACGGTCCTTGCGGCGCAACAAAGGGGGTGGACTTGATGATTACCTAGGGGAGGGTGCATTGGGGGAGATCTTTGTTTCTATGTAAAGATCCTCCCGTCTTGGGGAGGAGATAGCGTAGCATTCGGACACGGCGTGAGGCTCGTTCCCTCGTTTCGGGGGCCATTCTTAGACCTGAGGCAACGGGATTGTGGATTCGGGGGGGAGTCGGGGGGTTTCTGGTGTTTTTGGACACGGGGGAAGGGGAAGACATGGCCCGTGGCCAATTCTTTGGATAAAATAGCCGCTCCGGAAATAATCACGGCCCCACTCGGGGCCATGCCGGGGCCATGATCGGGGCCGGAGCTGTCGTGAAGTCACTTGTAGCATATGCGTAAGCCGTCGCTCTAGAACACAGGCGTCTAGAACAGCGAATTCAGTCCGACTACGTTCACCTGGAACTGATCAACGCTGCCAGAGCCGGAAAGATGAAGCCGGCATGGTTTTATGCAGAGCATGGGTCGCAAAGATTACTCGTGGCTAGCCTATCGCGGCGCCTACATTTAAACTCAAGGTAGTAGATCCAAAAGGCGTTCTGCTTTCCTAAAGAGCAGTCTGGAATCCACTGAAAGTGTTGTACCAATTTTACCGTCCGGGGAACCGATGTACAGAGAAGGGTTTGGATTGTCAAACTCTTGTGTGTCATGCCCCATCTAGGTGCTTTATGACAACAGCAGTTGTGGATATGTGCCACCTTAGCGTGGTAGACAGTTTTTTTGCTTCTCCTTAGTATATCATATCCTTCCTTGGTGAACTGCACGCAGCAGGAGACTAGCAACACACCACCGCTGGGTTTCTCAAAAACCAGAGCGCTCTCAGGAGAAAGTTTTGTGTCGCTAGTAGGGGACTTGGCCCTAACCATACTACACCCAGACCAATCGACACGGCGAGTTGGTTATGCAGTCAGTCTTTGGTTGTCCTTCTTATGTGCTTGATCTGCGGCGAATAAACCTCGGCAACGGGCGGCTCTCAGAGAGACGAGGAGCAAGGTGTCCGTCTGTCCTTGGCGAGATGAAATGGAGGCGGAAGTCTCCCGAATCCACTGGCGGTGGATTTCTTAACGGTTGGAAACCGGCATTTTCAAGTGGCCGGGTGGCGTTACAAGATTCCCGGATCAGACTTTCTCAGAGAAAAAATACGAATGTACGGCTGATCCGAGAGCTTACTTACTTGATTATTCTTCGTTATGGGGTTCGGTGGTTGCCTGCGTCGGATTCAATGCCTGCCAGAGTTCAGGTTACGAGTGTGCCGGCCATACCTGCTAATGAGCCATGTGTTAGCACTATATCTGAATGCACGTTCATGAGTCTTCCATAGGTCCTGGACCTCCATCGTCTCTATTCTCACCACATTGAGAGACATTGCCGTAGTCTTTATAGCGCTACTCATGTTTGTCAAGCAGCTGTAGGTAGCCCTTGGGCCTGTAATGTTGTCGAGGAAGGCTTGAGTCCTGCCTGTAAACGATATGAATGAGTAGTAAACGTCCGCCTGTTCCCCTACAAAGTTATCGCGAAGCGAACTAGAGGTCAGGATCACCCCATCCAAAGGTGCTTCACCTTTGTGATATTCGTATGTCAACACCATGGTGCAGTCAACCATCTTCATGGCAAATATCGGCATCGCGATTCTATTCCACGAACCTAAGCCTGCTCATTAATACGTTTGTGGATATCAAGTAGACCTATATGATTTCAGTGTCCTCACATTAGTCGGGTCCTTCTACTTGAATTACTGTGTCCGTGGAAATTCTCCTTAACACCTTTGCTGAGTGGAAATATCCTCAACAAAACTCCGTATTCTCGGTAGTCAAGCAACTCGCCTCGAGTGCTCAAAACACCTAAGCAAGCTATCGAATGAAGGCTCTTCGAATCATTGGCATGTAGTAAAGAAACTAAATTCGTCATGTGGAATGCCCGGTTTTTGTGTCGGTGTAGATGGTAAGCTCCCCAAGGTGCCTGTCTCAAGGGTGAATATCCCCCCTCAAGCCCATTCCTGTGACCAGCACAGCAGCGGCCGTCTATATCGGCTTGAAGGGGTCAGATCAAGCTGTGTGCGAGGTGGTGGAGTGATCAAATAAACAAATACATCAATAAAGTCAGAGTTCAGGTTGGCTGAAGGGCCTGAATCATTAGGTCAGTATCCACCAGCCCCTTTTCTATTTCTTGTCTTTTTTTCCCACCTTCAATCTCAGTATCGGAAGCCGTAGGGATTATAGGCAGCCTATTCCCTTCCCATTCTAACAACAGATATCGGGCCTGGTGACCGAGTGGTGAAAGCCGTGAAGTGCTGACTAGTGCGTGATGCTCCGTACTCTTCAGGACTCCTGCGTTCAACTCTCGGTTGGCTCCTGTCTTTTTGCCTTTTTTCTTTGATTACTGCCTGAAGGTAGTCTTGCATTTGATCGGTGTACTTTAGACCTCGGATACATGTGCTCAGCGACATCTCCTTACTCGAAGGCACCAGAGAATCTCTGTCGAATGGAGGTTTCGAGGATCGTTTGCTAGGAATGATCATGCAAGCTCCAGCAAGCACAAGTATTTTGAACTTTTCACAGGGATTAAAAGTAAGATAGCGCTGAGCTGCTGTTGTCGCACTGTGTTCAATTGAAGAAAGTTCGCGCCTAAACATGTAGGCGTCAATGGACGAGTTTTGTTCTTGTTGACAATTCAAAGAGCAGACGAATAAGGCTCGCGTCTTGAAGGCACGAAACCAAGGCAACCAAGTGACTACATACGCTCGTAGCCGCCGTACCCTTCCAAATCTTGAGGATAGGATTCCCGAAACAGCCACTGAGCAATCAGACCACCACCCGAACGATACTGAGCTCGTGATCCTGGCCGTAGCTAGCGGCAAGTCTCCTCCAGTCAATCGGAATCAGCTGCCACGGCCCCTTCCGCTGTCCCTTGCAGCAGGCCACACCCTCGTGGAATTCACACCAGAAGTCGCGATGAATAGGGTCAACGTAGAGATCAGCCGTCTCCAAGTCCGGATCAGCCAGCAGCCGCAACAGAGCCTGAAACGGCCTGGAGTGAGCAAAAGCGTCGTCACGCCGCGTGATCGCGGCCCTCCGCGACTGCGCGTCGGCGGCACTCTGGTTAAAGACAATCTTGTCAGCGCTCGTCGGATACAGCACGAGCCTGAGGTGCCGCAGGGAGCCGTTCAGGATCATGTCGGCCACGGCCGGGGAGACGTGGGTCTGGAAGACGTTGCCCAGGCGGCCCGGCGAGAGCTCGAGGTGCTTCACGCGGCGGCGGGCCTGTGGGTTACCGAGAAGCCAGGGGCTGCCGCCGTCGCAGATGGCGCGCTCGACGGCGGCGCGGGGCCCTGTTTGGAGGTTGAGGACGAAGCGGTTCTGTTCGTAGAAGAGGGCGGAGCCGGCGGCGTAGAGGAGCGGGTGGGCGAGGAGCAGGTCGTGCGGGAAGGGGATCTCGGAGAATTCTGTGGGACCTATCTGGATTGGATTTGGGAGTACGCAGAGGTAGGATATGATTTGGTCCCGGATCTCGACGGGGAGGTCAAAGAACTGGTCGAAGGTGCGGGAGGCCATTTTGGCGGGATCCCGACATTGTCGGTGACAAGGTAAGATCAACAGGAGATGTCCTGTAGCCTCATGGAAGACTTCTAGAAGAAAAGCCTTCTACCAGATTAGATCTGCAAGGAACTAGGTATTCATATGCCGTGGTACTTCGTAGTATGGATGAGGAATGAGGGTAGTAGTGACACCGGGCTGGCAGAAGGTGGGGTTGTTGATTACGTGATTGGCTGCGAGATCACCCGGCCCCACTATGGCGATCGAACTCCATGCCATCGTGCCTCTGCCCTGGTCAGTTCTATTTCGACTTCACGCCATCTTCTGTGGCATGTCGTTGATGGAGCTTAGATGGGTAGTGAGTCTACGGTCAGGCAATTACAGTAGATTTAATATCCTCATTTCATGGCTTTTTAAGATGGTAGAGCACTATCTTTCGGATGAGCGTGGAGTATTTAAGCAACACATTGTGGTGTAAGACGGCGTCGATGCAACAAACATTTGGGACAAGGTGTAAGAAACATTTACCTGGAATACCTTATAGCGCGTTCTTCTGTTGGCAATAGACCCAAGCAGATCTCTCATTGCTAGATCTATCTATGCTATCTCTTTTCGCCTTTTCAAGGTACAACCACACCGAGATCCCTTTCGCACCTTCCCTTCGTCAAAGAAGTAAACAAAAAACAAAAAGATGAAAAAATTGGTTGACCACATGATGAATCGAAACACCGCCGCCGGAAAGCCTCGGGAGCATCACCGAGACAGTCCCCCGATCAAGCATCTCGACTCGTGGTCGGTGACAGAGAAAGCATTACTGATCCCTATGGTCCTTCCTCTGTCGCCTGAGGCATGGACTGGTCTGCCTAGAATTCTATAGGTAGTATCTGTCACATCCTTCCTAACCCAGGTAGACCAATGGTGATCTACTGATGGAATCAAAATCTTGCATTGAGATTCTGAGGAAAGCACCCCTGGGTTGGAATGGCTCAGCTATTTACCACATCCGTTCTCATTTCTGATCCACCAGCCTCTAAGTTCTCGTGATCAGTCTTGTTAGATAGAGTACATGGAAATCTTTGATCCAAATTTTTTATAGCCAGTCTACTGGTATCGGAGAAGGTATGAAGGGAAGTTGGAAATTAATCGAAATGCATAGGCCGCGCCACACATTCAAGCGTCGCTAATCGCGTGAGAGCCCCCGTTCATGGTAGGATGTTGCCTTGGGCTCATGTTAGAAACTCCACGTCTGCACTGCCGTCAGAAGTCTCTACACCTGCCCTGTCACACCATTCGTCAGTTTAGACGAGAAATTCGCTGACCTCTTCGAATACTTGTCTATATACCACCACTTCCATACATTGAATTTCACCGATCGGTGACCAAGTCCTGCGTCCGCTACAAATGCCTCTTCGCCGTTATTTATCCGCCAGATCCGGACGTCGTTCAATCTTGTCTACTCACGTGCTGATTGATATGAGCGGTGCCCGAGCATTGATGTGCTCGGCCCATAGACGATGGGTATAGGAGATGTCCTGCCCCGGCATACATTCTTTCTTCGTCGTAATTCAAAGGATCTGTGGTGGAATGTATGATAGTGGCATTCATCTAGATGTATTAAGTGATATGTAGCGGAGTTCCGGCGGGTATGCGAGACGCAAAGTTTTCTGATCATGGCTCCGGGGACATGCTTCTTCGTGGAGAGTCCGACGGGAAGGCAATATGGCTGCTCTGTCCGGACCTTGAACTTCTTTCTGCCGCGGATTCTCTTTGGTGCCAGACGCGCTCACAGCGCATCTTCTCTGAGAGAAGCGTGGTCCAGGCAAATCCAACACCCACGTGAAGGAGATGATATAAATAAGACGAGTTGAAACAAAGGACTTTTCTGAGCTGTTCAAAACCACCAAGTAATAGTCGTCGACTAACGTCCATAGCCAAGACATCGAACCTCAATGACAAGTTCAACAACCCACATACTACCAGCTCGTCCGTTATAAGGCCCAAATCGCCTGAGCGGTTTCCTCAATCACCCAGTGTAGGAAACCGACCCCACCCTAGACGAGACCAAGTTGAAGCCTACGGCGTCTTTTGAAAGGGTTTTCATGAAGTGCGCAACGGACGCAGTATAATGTCAAGCTTGCATTGCTAAGTCTAGTGTGGGCAAACGCCCCTATCGGTGTACGTGTGGCGGTGACGGCGCTGGTGTGATCTCAGAAAAGGGAGAGTTCTGGTCTGGAGAGAGAGAGAGCGTATTTACATAAACGAAACGAACCGAAACGAAACGCTACAGTAATTGCTAGTTGTGGCCAGTAATTGCCAGTCGTGGTCAGTAATGGCTACTTGTGGTCAGTAGTGGCTAGTTGTGACTGTGTGGTGACAATATTTCTTCGTTATCAACTACCTTAGCTGAGGAGCAATCTTTGACAGTACCTTACCATTGAAGTCATCTCGGACGAGTATCCTCATCTTGCTGAATATTCATGCATGAATAAACCATCGGCGACGTTGGAAGTTGGTAATAACGCCAATGAGGACGCCAATGAGGACGTCAATGAGAACACGATTGAGGACACCAGTGAGGACGAGAATGATAATGGGAATGGCGATGACAATGTCTTGACTAGTAGATCTCAGACGCAAATTGGTTGGCAACAGTCACGTCACGTCGTATCACGTCGCATCGTGTCGCATCACGTCGTTGCATCATTCATAATGTCGGACCAAATTGAAGTAAGACGTAATTTCATTTCATGTCGCCCTGATCCTTTCTACAGTTCTATGAAAGCCGTAGAAGACGGCACCTGGTAGGCATTCATACTCGCCCGAGAGTCATGCCAGTGTCGTGCCGTGTGTGTGTGTGTGAAGGGGTTGTGGAGGTATATGGGGAGGAAGGCGGCGGGAAGAAAGGAGGAACTTTTAAGTGCCTTTTGATATCACCTGACCCAAATTATTCGCATCCTGCCTGGCCGTAATCTGCTCGGCCACCCAAACGCAAGAAAGTTGAACCAGATACACCGCATTGAAGCGGCCTCATCAAAGCCGTAAACATCCTCCGCGCGAACAAAACACTAGAGATATTTCTCACATGTTTTGGAGCATTTATCGGGAGGACATAGCCTTGGTCACGAGACGCTTGAGAGCGAGCTCCTGCTTCTTGAGCTCGTCGGCACCGCTGTCGGTGATCTCGAGGGCAGCCATGGCCTCGGAGACCTGCTGCTCGATCTTGTCCTTCTGGCCACGCTTGAGCTTGAGGGACAGCGTGGGGTCGGAGATGATCTCCTCAACACGGCCAATGTAGGACTCAAGCTGCTGCTTGGCCTCGAAGCGCTTGCTGAAAGCCTCATCGTTGGTCTTGAACTTCTCGGCGTCTAGGGAAGAATTAGTGTGTGCATCGTGGAGTGGTTGTCGACAAGAACGTACCGTTGATCATGTTCTCAATCTCGGAGGAAGAGAGCTTGCCAACAGAGTTGGAGATGGTGATGTTGGCGCTGCGGCCGGAGGTCTTCTCGGTGGCGGTGACCTTGAGGATACCGTTGACATCGACCTCGAAGACGACCTCAAGGACGGCCTCACCGGCTCTCATGGGAGGAATGGGAGCAAGAGTGAATTCACCCAGGGAGGTGTTGTCCTCGCAGTTGACACGTTCACCCTGGTAGACGGGGAACTGAACGGTCTGCTGGTTGTCGGCAACAGTGGTGAAGGTTCTGTAATGGGGATGTTAGCTCTTTAATCTTGACAGCGGGTCAATAAAACGCGGAAGGAAGAAGTGCTCTCCTCCTGCCATGCAATTGACGCATGGTAGGAAGGCACTGCCACGGATGAGGAAGGTGTCATCGCCAGCAGAGCGCCCATCACCACGATAGTCGCGAATGGGCGAAAACACCAAAATCGAGAAAAATCGAGCAAGTCAGGAAACGGGATAAGCAAACAAGGGGTACGTATCTTTTTCAAGCAAGGAACGTTTTGCCCGCGAGTAACGACGGGAGCGAAGATGTTACCCTCCATGGCGACACCGAGGGACAGGGGGCAGACGTCGAGCAGGAGAAGGTCGGCGGTCTCGGCGGAGGTGGCCTTTCCGGAGAGGATACCGGCCTGAACGGCGGCACCGTAGGCGACGGCCTCATCGGGGTTGATGCTCTTCTCGAGCTTCTTGCCGTCGAAGAACTCGGACAGAAGCTTCTGAATGCGGGGGATACGGGTGGAGCCACCAACGAGGACGATCTCGTCAACGCCGGACTTCTCCATGGAGGCATCCTTGAGAACCTGGGCAACGGGCTCGAGGGTACCGTTGAAAGCCTTGGCGTTCAGGTCCTCGAAACGAGCACGGGTGATCTGGGTGGTGTAGTCCTCGCCATCGAAGAGAGAGTCGATCTCAATGGTGGTCTGGGCACCGCTGGAAAGGGTACGCTTGGCACGCTCGCAAGCAGTGCGGAGACGACGGAGGGCACGGGGGTCGCCGGAGAGGTCCTTCTTGGTCTTGCGCTGGAAGTCCTTCTTGCAGTGGTCAAGAAGGTTGGTGTCGAAGTCCTGACCACCCAAGTGGGTGTCACCAGCGGTGGCCTTGACGGTGAAAACACCGCCCTGGATGTTAAGGAGGGAGACATCGAAAGTACCACCACCCAAGTCGTAGATGAGGACGTTGCGCTCCTTGCCAGACTTGCCGGCACCAAGACCGTAGGCAATGGCGGCAGCGGTGGGCTCGTTGATGATACGGAGGACGTTAAGACCGGCGATGGCACCGGCGTCCTTGGTGGCCTGACGCTGGTTGTCGTTGAAGTAGGCAGGGACGGTGATGACGGCCTTCTCGACCTTCTTGCCAAGCTTGACCTCGGCAATCTCCTTCATCTGTTGAGGGGGTCAGCATATGCGTATTTTCAGAAGTTGTGTGACGCCGGCTTTTCATTTTCGGGCTCATCACTAGAGAGCAAAACGCACCTTGAGGAGGACCATGGAGGAAACCTCCTGGGGGGAGAAGGTCTTGGTCTCGTTGAGGTACTCGACCTGGACCTTGGGGTTGCCACCCTCGTCGACGACCTTGAAGGGCCAGGACTCGATGTCCTTCTTGACGGTGGGGTCATCGAAGCGGCGACCGATGAGACGCCTGTGAGAGAATGCGTGGTCAGCGATTTGTAGTTGTATAATTTTTATTTTCTGCTCTCTGCTATTGCTCCGGATTACCCCTCCTTGGGCGGGGAAAATTCTCACCCACCCCGGCCAAAGTAGGAATCGGGAGCAACAGCAGACGGAGAAAACGGCGAGGCTACTCACTTGACATCGAAGACGGTGTTGACGGGGTTCATGGCAGCCTGGTTCTTGGCGGCCTCACCAATCAGACGCTCCTTGTCGGTGAAGGAAACGAAAGAGGGCGTGGTGAACGAACCCTGCTCGTTGGCAATGATTTCGACATTGGTACCCTCGTACGTGGCAACGCAAGAGTAGGTAGTTCCTGTGATGAGAGGACTTGGTCAGCCTGACATGTTCTTTCGATGATTGTGAAAGTCCTCCTCGAGTGCCTCCTTCCATGATAGTTGATTGATGATTGACGGTATTTTGCAGCGTTGGCGTCAGCGACATTGTTCGTGATGTCTGAAGTGACCGAAACCCTCAAAGTTGAGCGACGACCGGTATCGCCACAAAATAACGCCCCTCTCAAAAAAAGCATCGTCCATCAGCAACAGGAAAATAAAAACTCACCCAAGTCAATGCCAATGGCACCATCGTAGACCTCGTCCGCCATTTTGAGAAATTTGATATGCACAAAGACAAAAAAACGGCCTGTGTGAATGGGGGAGGGGGGAGAATTGAAGGTTGGGAGGTTTGCGCGGAGGAGAAAGATATGTGAAGGAGGGCGGGCGGGCGACGTGGGGTCCTTTCAAGAAGAATTTCTCTCGCTCCAGTCGCTCAACACAGGATTTTTGTGAAGGCCGAAAAAAAAAATCAATTTCGACTTTTTTTTCTGGGTCCCCCTAGCCCCACCAACCACCTTTACCCCCCCTCCAGCGCTGAGACCGTGCTACTAGCGCGCGGGCCATGCCACAAAAATTCGAGAGATTCGAGGGCGGCGAAGCAATTTTTTTGCCATTTCATCCCGCTGTGGCCCTTGCTGGTGGGCTGTCTCTTATCTTATCGCACCCCGGCCCGCCATTTTCTCGCTTACTGCCACTCTCTGTCACTGTGAGTTGAGCAAGGTATCTACCTTAGCCGAAGTCGAGTTAACTGCAGGTTGCAACCACCTGCTCTGCACCCGACTCGGGAGACTGTTTGAGAGCCTCTTGATGGTGTCTGGCTGTATTTCGGTACTTTACAAAAGTAACGAAAGTTGTTGACATTGTTTCCTTTGGCTTCAAGTAATAGTTTGCTAACCAGGACAAAGAACGCCGTCATTGATACTGAAATACTTACCCATGCTAACTTTCAACAGCCTGCAACTTCCCCCCCTCGTCTCTCTCGTCCACATGCCTTGTTGGGCTTACCTTACTGCTCCTCGTCCTCCCTCGTGCAGGTACCGGCGCTTAGCAGCCTTTGAAAGTACTTGGTCCATCATCCATGACATTGCTTTTCTCACCGCCTGACTCGACTTGGACAAGCAACCCAGATGCCTACCAGTGGACTCCCGGCTTTCTGTGGCAATCCCACGGGAGACCCCTTCCTTCCAGCGGCAAATCAGTCTCAAGTTGCCGTGGTCGCGGTTACCTACTCAACTGTTTTCAGTCTCCGCGACTGCTCGGTCAAAGAGGGACCTTCATGCAGATATGTCGGGCTCCCCGAAGTCGGTCGGTTGGCCAGCCAGAAAAAGAGTATCCCTCTTTTTTTTTTTGGCCATGATACCGTCCCCAACTCAGGTCCCCATGCACGTGTATTCCGTTGCCCCTCAGAGAGTTCTTGGAGGGGTCCTTCCCAACTTGCCAATGCCTGCCAAACGATTGGCTCTCGCCTGCCCATTCAGACGAACCGCCGACGTCTTTCTCGTAGAGAAAATAACCCGACAATATCCCGAACATGTCGGCCGAGATTGAATCTGAGCATCTCTCTTGCGCGAATTACTCTAACCGCGGCAATCTGTCCTTGTCGGACAATTTTTCGACGCCTTCGGAGTCCCAGAGACGGGTGGAGCCGCCGCCGCTTACAACTGTTAGTCGCCCCGGGAACCGCTCGCGAGCCCACAGAAACCCTCATGCACGAACCCTCGCTCCCCACACACAACGGCCATCTCTGCCCCTCGGGATATAATCACCTTCTCGTCGCCGTACTTCCAACCAGCCTGTCCGGCTTCGATTTCCGGATATCTGATCATCTGCGTCGATGGTTTAGTGGTAAAATTCTCCGTTGCCATCAAGCAGCGTCGGGGAGCCGGGGGTTCGATTCCCCCTCGACGCATTTCTTTTGCCAAATCTGCCTCAAAGCCAGCCTGGACATCCGTTTTTGGTTTTTGGATGAAGTGCTGCCTGAGTGAGGCGACTAGATAGTCCCTGGGACCTTCTTTAACCTTTCTTGTTCATGGTCCTTGAGAGAGTGTGTCATACAAGCTTGCAGTGATACCTTCATCAAACCCCCTCAGTATTGCCCTAAGTCAACAACACCAGCTCACATGTCTGCCTACCCCCTTGAGTGACATTTGGAAAGGAAATTCACATTGTATTGCTCGCTCAGCTGTCAACTCAAACAAAAGTCCGCCTGATCCTCACGTCCAAGCAACGCCATCAACGCCGAAGATTCACCACTCCAAGCCCAGTCAAAGCTACCTGGTAAACCGAATTCCTAAATACCCTGATCTGTCCCAGCACGACCGGACGATGGATCGTATGCAGGGTCCGCCCCACCCTCATGGCTCCGCCTGTTGTACTCGTCCCGCAGCTGATAGACGTATCTCAGGAGTTGAATGAGCAAAATGTACATCAGAAGCTGCCAGAACAATGGACGGATGATCGCAGAGAAGTATGTCGGCTTAGGTCGCCTCATCTCACATGCGTGGTCGACAAGCGAGCGCGGCGATGAATCAACCTCACCCGTGTGGCGCCAGAGGGTATAGTAGGCCGTCCGAGACTCCAACAACCTTCTCCTCTCGCTACCAATGGGCTCTTCTCCATCGGCACCCTCGACGAGCGAGATTCTCTGAACGACGGGGACAAAGGAAATCAGCACTCTCGACAACGGTGGTTCTATCGGTGGCTCTCTGAATCGAGTTGTCGAAATGATGAACCCAGTAGACGTCGGGCTCAGTAAGGCGTTGGACGGTCTTGGCAGCACTCCTGGATCGGGGATCTCAAAGTCGCCCGGGATGTAGAGTTCGTCGGGCTCGCGCCATTCAAAGTGAAGAACTTCGGGAGACAGACGAATGTTGACAGAAAGCCAAGCCGCGTAGGCCACGTCGTGGTGAATCATCTGGAAGATTGACCGAATAGACGGGTTCGGGCCGTTCTCGGGCCAGGTCATCCTCACCCAGGTCAGGATTGGCCTTATGAGCAAGAAGGTCTTCATAGTATAATAGTCCACTTGCTTCCAAAACAGAGGTGGCAGGCCATGATTCTCTTCCAATAGCATTTCCACCGTTTTTGCTCTCAGTTCCGATCGCCTGAAACCTAGTAGACAATCAATTGCTGTGTCTTGTTCGGGGTTGCTTGGATGAGGGGGGGGAACCAACCTTCGTGCTTCATGAACTGCTTGTCTTGATGGAGCAGTGAAAGTCGCTGTGGGTTGTCTGCGCCAAATAGCTGAAGTGAAAATATCTGTTCCTCAAAAAGCTTCAAGAAGAAGGCCCTCATGACCAGTATCCGTTTGTAGTCGCAGGCAATCAGATCATCCCAAGGGCTCTTGTCTCGAGGATCTGGCCGGGCAACTTTCTCGATGGTACATTCCAATTCCGAAATCTGGTCGCCAGTGACCACGGACCATACGGGTCCTGGAGGCGGAACATCGCCAACTTCGAAAATCTGCTTGGCGTGGAGATTTATATTTGATATGATGGCGGCATAGTGATGCGTAAAGAAGTCGTCTGTAAGCGAAGAACGCGGAAGGCCCCATTGCAGGACGAGTCGTTCGGGGCAAAATCCTTTCAATTCTTTGAGGTCTTTGGACGCAAATGCTTTGGTTGCTGATGGCTCTGCTTTCATGTTCTTCCTGTTCTGTTGCGCCGTTGGACTGCAAGCCTCGCTACAATTCGGGCCATGTGAACTCAGGTACGTTGATGCCATCTGGAGTGCTTTGAGGATCGATTCAAACGTTATTTGTCGCTCGAGAAGTTCGATGGGTGAATATGGATCGGTCGACGAAATTCTAGATGGTCGAAAACCGCCAATAGGGAGTAGGTTGCTCAAAAAATGATACCGCCTTTGGTGATCAGCTGGCTGTGCATCGCGACCGCGTCTTACGCAGCGCCGCCTCGGTTTTATGAGTATCACGCTGCTTGCTCAACTGCGTTGTCATACGAGCATGCTCTGCAATCTAAACGGGCCGCCGTGCTCCATACTTCCGGTCGCTGTCCTTGTGAGAATCCAAGGGATGACGCGGGACAAAGAACACTCGGCCATTATCATCGATGCCATTGTTGTTCGTCTCCAACAGGTTGACACCTGGTGTCGTGGACCTAATATAGAACTTTCCAACAAGATACAGGCGATGCATACAGCCGCATGGCAGCTACATAGCGGAACAAAGAAAATGTATCCGTCTTTCACCCTGCGTTCCCATCCTAGCTCTTGGTCGATGGTGTAATGGAGAAGCACGAGAGTAAGTAGAGCAAGTATCCTGTTTCTTTCACTCAAGTCTAGGAGCACAATGCAGCTCTCTCAAAATGGTCGTACCTCGATTCATTGAGACGACGTCAATAGAGCCTCGATGCATGTGGGGCGGAGTGTGCAATGACTGAAACAAGCAGAGCGACCTGGCCGAAACGATCCCTAGAGCCATCACCGCTTCAAGCCGAGCCCGACTCGCTTGAGTTTTCGAGTGCAGAAGAGGGTGGTAGGGGATGATGGGAAAGATTACCTAGCTTGCGTGTTGTTTGACTCAAGATGAAGGAATTTTGCTCAGGCCACCTAATTCGCAGGTCACCTAATCTAAGAGGGATGGGAGCTTCATAGAAATAATAACAATTCATGTCATTGAATGTGATTGGCAACGCAAGAGACTAGGGAAAGCTTCTGGAAAGGTCCCCCGCAGGTTGAAGCCAAAAATATGATGGCAATGTTTCGAGGCCAGATAACAGCGTGATGTCGAAACAAGGATGTGTCTTTTGGCGTAGGAAGGGGCAAGGAGAAGGGGTCAGGAGGCGGCGCTCGGTTCAGGCCGAGTATGGAGAGGGCTGTCACAACTGCAAAAGGCTGCAAACAGCTGGTAGACGGGTGAGTTTTAGAAACAGGAAATAAGAGGAACAATCCGGATGACAGGAGCAGAAAAGCAGCAAGCACAACCCTAGGAGTCGGAAGCTTCGTCTGAGCTGTTGGACGTGGTCGAATCTGAAGGCAGGAAAGAAAAGTTATCTGACTTATCAGCCTTGAGCAATGACAGGCAACGTAAGCTAAAAGTCAACATGAACAGTTCAATACTGCTATTAGACCGCTAGTCTTGAAAAGACAGAAGGGAAGAAAAGCAACTCAACACTGGCGAAACGGATTGCATGGCGTTGAAGACAGACATTCAGCAAGCCTCACAACACGACACGGAGTTACAAGGTTTGTAGGCTGACAAGTGCTACTATTGGAGCAATTGACATCCACTGGGCTGCTTAAACTTCCGCAAACCTGGTCTTGAATGGGACCAGACTGACCTTGCCCTGGATTTTTCGTCTCCTTCGCTTCTTGAGAAAGCTGACGTAACGGGACCGTATCCATCAGGCTAGGCTCACCTCGCCTCCGCTCTCACCTTGAGCAACGGGCCCCGGGCTCACCTAGAATCCCACTGATGTCGGGGGCTTTCCTTCGCCCTAACTAGCACCCCCGGGACCACACCTCACTGAGTGGGTGGATATCTGCCTTACGTGCTTGGTGTGGCAGTTGTGCTAGGTCGTAATTGTGAGGTGCCCTGCGCAAAAAATAAAAAAAAACCTAGGCCTCGTCCACCAAGAAGGTAGGTACTGAGGTACACCTTGACATACCCCACTTTTCCGACGCCTTGCTCCCCTCCCGTTGGCCAAGCCCGCTTGGGCATTTTTTTGCGACTGGAAAGGCTCTCTCGCTCACAGACTCAGACTTCTGTTTGCTGCGCGCAATCCCTCGCAAAGTGCAAAACCCATCGCAACTTCCCAATTCTCGACCTCGTCGTCTCCCCACGAAAAAACCAGAACGTCACCGCCCGTTCTAATCTTTCCTCTAATCCGCCCTTTCCGATCCTTGCTGACTTGCCTGGCGCAACGTCGGAATCTCCCCCACATCCGAATACCTGGAAGGAAGCAATCGCCCTCCAGTACGTTCCCAATAGTGAAGCGAGCAACCGTCGTCACCACCACCTTCAGCCACTCTCGTGCGGAACCCTCCCACTTTCCAACTCTTCCACCTCACAACCGCGACCAGCGACCTCTTTTCCCTTTGGCTTCTTCAACCTCCGAGATAGCCTAACTCGCATTTTCCTCCAGAGATTGCTTCCCAGCGCCTCTGACGACCTACTCTACCCCTCATCGGTCCGATCCGTAATCAGCCCGAAAACACCAGAACAAATCCATTCACGATGGCGACTTCTGTGCAAACACCCACGAACCCCGACCAGCAGGTCGACCTCTCCACCATTCCCATCTCCCCCGAGGGTGGCGAGAAGAGCGAGACCAAGGAGAACGACTCGGAGAAGCCCGTTACCGTTTTCCACGACAAGGAGAACTTCAACGTTAAGCACCCTCTGCAGAACAAGTGGACTCTTTGGTTCACCAAGCCCCCCAGCGGAAAGGTTCGTCTATCCCGATTGAGAACGGCACGTGGCCCAGATATTAACGTGGAGTAGGGTGACAACTGGAATGACCTTCTGAAGGAGGTCATCACCTTCAACTCAGTCGAGGAGTTTTGGGGTGTCTATGTACGTGCACCTTCCTTCCCCGCGGCCCCTCTTATCGCTCGCTAACTATTGACCAGAACAACATCGCCCCTGTCTCCGAGCTTGCCCTCAAGTCCGACTACCATCTCTTCAAGGCCGGCGTCCGCCCCGAGTGGGAGGATGCCCAGAACAAGCACGGCGGCAAGTGGTCCTACCAGTTCAAGGAGAAGCGCAGCATCCCCATCGACGATCTCTGGCTTCACGTCATGTTGGCCGCTATTGGCGAGACCCTCGAGGCTGAGGACGACGGAGAGGTCATGGGTGTTGTCGTCAACGTCCGCAAGGCTTTCTTCCGTATCGGTGTCTGGACCCGTACCATTGGCAAGAGCATTCCTGGCCGTGGTGACGGAGATGTGGCTGGTGGCAAGGGACGTTCGCAGGATAAGGGCCGTGACATCCTCCTGAACATTGGCAAGCGCTTCAAGGACATCCTGAACCTCCCCGCCAACGAGGTTGTCGAGTTCTCCGGCCACACGGACAGCGCACACAGCGGAAGTAGCCGTGCAAAGGCCAAGCACACTGTCTAAAGCGATGGACACAGCCTCTGAAAAAAAACCACAGAAACGAATTACACAAGCTTGCACCACATGCTCACTAACGCATTTTATTGGAACCGATGGGCTCCACCACCTATCGAGAAGGCCGACTTCCGTCTGCACGATATCACTTCTCGTTGCACTTTCTCAGCCGACTTCTTTTTTTTATTTTTTGCCTGATGCCAGTGGGGGGAATACGGGGGCAATGCTACGCTATGCATCGATGATAACGCATCTCTGGGGCGGAAAAAGTTCTCTCTTATGACAGTCCTTGGAGCTCGACGAAGGCGTTTGCTGAGAACGAAAAAAGAGATCAATGGGTTTTATGGAACTTCTAGACGGCCATGATCGATAGTACATAGGCGGATGCGAAATATCCGGAATAGATACCTAGGTTTAGGCCAGAATGCCCTGGTGCACGCACCCTTTATAAATTGAAGGGTGTTAATTATGCTTCTCCTTGGCAACAAGATATCACCTTATGAGTTCTATCTCATCACTACAAATCTCACTTCGTAAAGGGTGCGCAGTGAGGGGGTCGATGCTCAATAAGGTATATATTTTATCTAAATTCTATGCAGCATTCCGCCATGTCCTAGTCAAACAGGTATATATGTATGTCACATTGCGAGGTGAGTGGAGCAGTATCCACGCACCAGTAGCTACGTACTCTTACAATTCATCACCGCTAAACTGGTCCTCAAAGACGGCCTGGACTAGTTGCTTCTTGTTGATCTTGCCCATGGCGTTGCGCGGGATGTGGTCTACGACCTTGAGCACCTGGGGAATCTTGTAGTTGACGAGCCGATCCCGGAGGGCCCTCCGCATGGCCATCGGGGACCAGTGTGGGACGACGTCCGTGTTGAGGATGACGACGGCGCCGACCTTGGAGCCCCACTTGCCCGAGGGGACGGAGACGACGGCGGCCTCGGCCACCTCGGGGAGGGAGAGCAGCTCGCGCTCGACCTCGAGGGCGCTGACCTTTTCGCCGCCCGTCTTGATGATGTCGGCGCTCTTGCGGCCCTGGATAAAGTACATGTCGCCCTTGGCCCAGGACGCCTGCGCGGCGTTGAGCCCGGCGTTCGGGACCGGTCTCCGGACGGCGACGTCGCCCGTCTTGAACCACTTCCCCTTGCCGTCCTCGCCTTCGACGAACTCCTTGGCTGTCGCCTCGGGGTTGCGCCAGTATTCTTTAAAGATTGTGGGACCTCGGAGCTGGATTTCGCCGGAGCGCTCGCGGCCCGTTTTGGGGTCGACGTCTTCGCCGGGAGGGATGACGAGGCCAGTGTCCATGTCGACGAGGCGGGCTTCGACACCGGGCAAGGGCCAGCCAACGCTGCCGTCGACGCGGTCGGCGAAATCGAGACCGCAGGAGAGGGCCATGCCGACCTCTGTCATGCCGTAGCGTTCGAGGAGGACGTTGCCCTTGGACAGAGTCTTCCAGGCCTCCTTGATGGGCGTTGGGAGGGCGGCTGAGCCGGATATGGCGAGGCGCATGTTGCGCGGGGAGACGGCTTCTCGTGTGGGTTCAGCAGGATCGATGGGGAGGAGTTTGTGGGTTGCGAGGAGGCGGGAGTAGACTGTTGGCACGACGGTGAAGAAGGTAATCTTCTCCTTTGCGATGTTCTTGTGTGTCCCGTTTGGGCCATTGGTCCCGTTGACCCCGTTGACCCCGTTGGTACCGTTTACACCGTTTGTGCCGTTGGAGGTGATGTAGGGCGCGGCGAGGCGCTTCCAGACCGCGTCGGCGTTGAAGGGGAACATGAACTCGATCGTGGAGCCTGACAGCAACGGCGTAAGGACAGCATTGACCGTGCCGTGAATGTGGTGTAGGGGGAGGACGTGGAGGAGGTGGTCGGCCGGGGTGTAGTTCCATGCTTCGATCAGGGATTTGGATTGCGCCGTGAGGACGGACTGGGGGAGAAGGACGCCTTTCTAATGCAGGGAATTAGCGATCATGCTCGGAGCTGCCACTCAAGTTCGGAAAGGGGACGACGAACCGGTCGATTGGTGGTGCCTGAAGTGTACAGCATCATGCCTGCGCCGTCGGCATCGGAACTGTCCAGTTCAACTTGCTCATGCGCGCTGCCACCGAGGTGCTTCTGTAGTTCGACTTGCGTCGGGCTTGAGAGGAGCTCTGTAGCGAGAACCTCCTTTGCTTTTGCGGCGAACTTGGCCGAAGACACGAGCAACGACGCTTCGCTCTGGTTTAGAATATACTGAAGCTCGGCAGCAGGGAAGGCTGGAGAAAGAGGTACGGCGATTGACCGCGCCGCAAAGGCGGCAAGGAGGGTCACTAGAAATCAAGCGAGTGTTAGAATTGAGGCGTGTTGTTTGGGCCGCAACCAAAGGAGTCTCAGAGCTGTTGTGTAAGGGGTATGCGACATGGCTTACCTACATAGTCGTAACTGTTCTCTACTAAGAATGCGATGCGCTCGCCATTAAGATCTGACTTGCCCGCTGAATCCAAGAGCTTGTTCCGCGCGCGGCGCACGTCGCCAAGGAGCTCTCCATACTTGAAGCGGCGGCCGGACAAGGAGTGAATCACAGCCGTAGACTCGGGGTCATGCCTGGAAATGGCCTCGAAGAGAGGGATCCTTGGGAGGGATGTCGTTGTTGAAGCCATTCTTGCGGATTGCGATGCGCGCGCGGCAGCAAAGGATCGGGATACGGGACGGGAGAGGTTGAAGCTTGCGGTAGCTGTAGTACCGGCGACGGCGGCGGCGGCGAAGGCTGAGAAAGGGGATATTCGGCAGCAGCAGCAGCAGCCGGGCCGTCGAGCTACATTCCGCAAACCGGAGGCCAACATGGGGGTGGGGGGAGGAGGGGAATAGATATGCGTCGTTATCAATTGCGTTATGATTAAAGGAGGATCGGGAATACGGCGCTGCGACGGAGTGGATATTGGGGAGAGGGGGGAACGGACCCCGGGAGTTGCGAATGGTTGCCCTCGGATCTGGTCGCGGCAGCTGTTGGCGTGGGATTGCAGGTTGGGTGCGTGAGTGCGCGCGTGTGTGTGGTATGAACTGGTAATATTTTTTGGCTTCTGTCAGGTCCCGGATCGGACTTCTCCCTGCAGGACCGCCGGCAGGATCTGCCGAAGACCGGACGGAAAACTTGGGTGGTTGAGTGTGGCTTGCCCGGACATCCTAGCAGCTCCCTTCTCTCTAGTTGAGGCTTGACTCTTTTATGGAGCTCCGGAGTTGAAGGTGTGAAGACCAGAGATACGGAGAGGAAACCCGTCAGGTGGTGTGTGCGCCTGCGTGGATATTGGACTGTGGCACCGTGGGTTGTTGGTGCGCTTTCACGGCCCAGCGCCTTGGGATCAGGTATTGGTATTTAGATGCCGTGATGCATCGGTTCACGTCCAATGTATCCGTTCCTGGCCCTAGGATGTCTAGCGGTGGGGGAACCGTTCGAAGCGGCCGACGTTTCCCAAGCGGCACCTACCTCTGCCTACCTATCCGTCCCTCCATTGTATAGCGTGTGGGTAAACCTCCGAAGTTGACAGGTATTCAAGCGTGCCAAGGTTAAGATACTTGCGGTCCTCTCGACTTTTCTGCTCCCTCGCTAGATTGTGGTTGTGGTCACTGATTGTGGTGGTGGTGGTGGTGAGTCTGCTGCATCTCTGCCCGCTGCCGACCGACAATGTTACCGTACCACACGTCACTACATTCGATATCCATGCAAGGTGCCTGGAAGCTCTCCCCAAAGAGTCCTCTAGGTTTCCCCGCCCGCATGCATTGGCGACATTGTGAGCGAACAGCTGGTACTCTGGAACCGAGAGATCTAGATGATCAGGCGCCCAATGATGGATGGGTGCCCTGCCACTTGCTGCGTGGCTCAAGGCTCCATCACTCCAAGTCTATCCGTACTTTTCGAGTAAGGAGAGGGACCGACTCTGGCCTTTTGTGATGCGTGGTGACGAGGGTTGGGGGGTTGGAATCTTGAGGGTCGGGTACGGATACGGATGGCAAGCCGCAAAAGGCGTCTGTGGCATCGTTCAGGAAACACGCGGTGAGCAGAATGGAGCCAACAGGCAGGGCACGAGGGCTGAGGAGTCATCCAAGGACCTGGCTGGAGGTGTGTCGGGTGCCCATGTGCTGTTGTTGCTTGCTCTGTGTTCCGTCGTTCCCCAGTTGTTCTAGGTGTTCTTGTTGGTCCACCTAATCTCAACGCGCGTTAGCGTCTTCGGACCAGTCAGAAACATGGGACGGTAAAGCCTCCCGGGGTCTGGTAAGCTAGGTGTATGCAGCGTGGGTGGTTCCAAGAAGCAAAAAAACAAAAAAGGGCGGTGGGCATAACAGAGAGAGAGAGAGAGAGAGAGAGACAGAGTCACTGACACGCACTTACTGCAAAAGCAAAGCTAACTCGGTCGACCACCTCACACACTGACACGAGGTCGGCGGGGAAAAATCTGGGAGGAACTTGGAAGTCAGTCATGTCTCCAAGACATGAGAGGCCAAAAATACAACCCAACCGGGAAGATGAGTGGCAACGGCTGACTCTTTTTGTTTTTCTTTCCCCCTCCATCTTACTTGCTTGTAGCATTGTGCGCGTGTCCGTGGAGGGAAGTGCGGAAAATACGAGGAAGAAGCCGTCCGTAGGGTAAGCAAGGTTTGCCTGCCTCAACACATAGACTACCGGTACCGCAGACCACAAGGAAAAGGAAAAAAAAAAAAAAAAAAGAATGTACATACAGATACTGCGCAGTGGGATGAGAAGGAACTTCCATGGGACATGCTGGCCGTCTCATCGCACCGCTGTCTGGCGAAGTGGTGCAGTGGTGCTGGAAGGAAGTTTGGAAGTGCCTCCCCGGTGCGGGTCCTCCAGTTACCAACCGGAAGGACAGAGGCAAGGCCCCCGGTCTGTTGATTGGCCGGGACGCATGTGCCATGTTGCCTGCCAAGCCCATCCCGCATGTCCGCTCTTTTCTCACCGATACACCGAATCTCCTCTACCTTCTTTTTTTTCCACGACGTACCTTACCTGGGCCAGGGTCTGCCTCCATTGTCGCCTTGGGCTCTTCTCCATCATCCACTCATCCTCCTTCTCGTCGTTCCTCTCTCTAACTCTCCCTCGGTCTCTCCTCTCCTCTCGTCAACCCACAAGCGCCACCCCCATCCCCCATCATCCATGCTTCGGCTCCCAGTCCCAAGTTCCAGGGTCACACTTTTTGCACACCGTACCTTTTGCACACGCAGCAGCGCAGCGGCTCCATTCCTCTGCTTCCCGCTCTCGTCGCTCTCTACCTAAACCGAAAAAAGCTGTTGGGCTAGCAAATCACAGCAAACCACAACCCACACCGCACACCGGTATCCGTACACTACACACCAGCGCAAGGGCAGCTTTCTTATTCTCCCCTGTCCAGTTTCTATACCTCCTTACCGCTTCTCGGTCGACGCACGCTGCCGCACGCCGCAGACCGTCGCATCCTACTTTTTTTTCTACTTGAAAACCTCCTTCCCTCTTCCCTCCTTTCCTCCTCCCCTTCTACTCCCCATGAACACATTCCGCCCCATTGTCGGCAGGATTGGGAGTAGCTTGACCGGAGGAACTACACACCTACACACACCAATGTTGCGAAGATACGCCCTCGGCTTCTCGGGCGCTGCCAGACCCCACGGAACCATGGCTTCCACCAACCCCGTTGAGGACGCTATTCGGTCCAAGGTACGATATCCTGCCCTTGAGACAGTCTCCTTGTCCGTGAGCCAACGTTGCTGACCGAACCACTCCAGGTGACCGCCGCCTTCTCCCCCACCACCCTCGAAATCTACAACGACTCTCACCTCCATAGCCACCACAAGGCCATGGCTGGTAGCACCTCCAAGGAAACACACTTCAGGCACGACAACTCAAGCTCTGCTATTCCTCAGTCCGAGACACCTTTTGACTAACAGCCGTCACGCAGACTTGTCATTACCTCCGAGTCTTTCAAGTCCAAGATGCAGTCCGCCCGCCACCGCATGGTCTACGCCCTCCTGCGTGAGGAGATGGCCCGTGAGGGTGGCATCCACGCCCTTCAGCTCAAGACCCTCACCCCCGAAGAGGAAGAGAGGCAAAAGGCCAAGAAGGCCGCCGAGGCTCAAGCTTCCGAGGACTCGACCTGAGCAAATTACAGATACCATAAAAACCATATACCCACACCACCACACCACCCTGGGGGCGACCTCGGGGGGTGTAATGACACGAGAGATACGACCTTTGAGACATGACGGAATATTGGGAAATCACAGCGCAATAACTATGGAGGAACACTGGAGAGAGGGTGTTTTTTTTCTTCTTGTGAACACCACCTATACGGAGTCGGCTCATGGATTTTTGCTGCGACACGGAAACCCAAATAACCCACCCTCGCCTTCAAGCCACCTACCCACCACCCTCAACTCATTTGCAACTAGGATACGACGGGAAGCATCTTGGGGTTTGGCGAAATGTTTTTTCTTTCCTAGGGAACATAGAACACCTTCAAGACTCTCCAGAGAGCCGGGCACGAAAAAAGCACAACTAGATCCAGTCTAGACAGATCAGATTGATTGCCAGAGCAATTTAGAACCTTGGCCTTGTTATTTTGGAGAGTAGCATCAGCTTTGCCACTTGTGGCCTCATCGCACCTGTGGTGTAATACAATTGATACTTTCTACCAACTCTCTACAAAAGGGGTATTATACTCAAATCAAGTCTTGCTCTTTCCGCCCAATGTGTGTCGTTATGCTTCATATCCATTTCCATGTTGCAGATTAAGAGAGAGTGCTGGTCGATACGAAATGAACCTCGATCGACAGCTACTACGGAACTGCATCGTTCAACCCCTTTTACTCAACACAAAATCAACTTGTGACGCCCACGTTCTCGCCCATTCCAGAACCATTGCTCAAACAAAGACTGTATGCGAAGTACTTCCACGTGTGGCTCAAGACCTTGGAGGCATCGTGCTAGACGGGGGCTTATACCGTCCTTCCTTCGACATCCTCTCCATCTTGGCCAAAGCCGCCTGTCTCCTTTCCTTCTCCGTCATGGCTGTCTTCTGCTTGGGTTTCTTCACGCGGCTCTCTTGAAAAAAGGAACCCAACGCGGTTTTTGGCGTACCGCTTGGCACGGGGCTCGCCACGGAGCTCGCGGCCGGGCTCGTCGTCACCGGTACTGAGGCCTTGATCGGCATGGACGCGGGAGGCGGTCGACCGTCGGAGAAAGAGGCCGGTAGGCTACGACGTACCGCTGGGTGCTGGGTAGTCCGCTTGGGCGGACCAGCTGTCTTTCGCGGCGGGGTCTCTGCGATGATGGCGTCCTTGGTGGGCTTCGAGAATAGAGGGACCCTCTGCTCGGATAGGAGTGGGTTGGGAACTGCCTTCTGCGGCAATGGCGTGGTGGTGAGGGCGGTGGCGGTGGTGCCGTTGTCGTTGCTTTCCGTCTTGATAGTTTCCTCCAAAGGATTTGCGGTACGGGGGCGCGGGGTACTGGATATGAATGTGACGTCCTCGTCGTCCTGCAGAGCGTTTGTGTGTCGTTGAATGGCCGGGGCAGATGCCGGAGGGTTCCGAGGGCTTGATGTCGCGTTGTTTGTCACTTGCTGTTTGGCCTTCTCCCCATTGGCAGGGGGGATGTCAGGTGCAGGAGGGAAGGCATTGTGAGTATGAGGTTCATTAGCAGACTGCCCGCCAACATGGCCGCTGCCGTTTGTCTTTGACGCAATCGGCTCTTCCGTGAGTGAAGCATGCACGGGGGAGGAAGCAGGCTTGCTAGGCGTGCCGTCCGATGTGCGTGTCTCGATATGAGGCCTCAGGGTGGGGTTGCTTTGCTGCGCAACTGGCGTATTAGGACCCACGCTCAGGTTCAACGCCGCCGATTGCTCAGAGAGACGCCTCTGTGCGACTTCTGGAAACGGGGTTCCGCTCTCCAACACAGACTCCCTTGCCGACTTGAATTCGCTGTGGTAGATCTTGAAGACCAGATACAGATTCTCGCGTGTCACGACACCGCCTTGATATGCTGGCCGGTCCACGTACTCGACGTACCACTGATATGCCGAGAGCGGCTCCTCGTCATCGTCCAAGGTTTGAATGTAAGGGACGAACCCGTCCACGAAGGCGCGGATGAAGTCGTCGTAGAGCCATTTGGGAAGCAGTCGTTTCCGACGCAGGTCTTTGATCGTGAAACAAGCCTTCACAAAGTCACCTACGCTACCCGAGAAGGATGGGTATGCGTGGCGGAAAGCTTCCAGCGGATCCTGTGCAAAACGGGTCCTCTTGACCGAGTCCTGTGCTGGATGATGGACATCCAAGGTTTGGTATCGACCATCTTGAAGCACTTGTGGAATAGCAGTCGGCTGCACACCTTGCATGGCGCTGGGCGATGGTGGAGGTGAAGGATTGATGGGTGCCACTTGAGACACTATCCGGTGACGGCTTGCGGGCCTCGATGAGCTTCCGACAGGTGCTGCTCTTGCTTCACCCGAAGCTGGACCTCGAGTCTTCGCCGCTCTCGACTTCTCTGCCTCGAAGAAATAGCGTGATGCCTCGGCGACTTCTTCGGAGAAGATCAGTTTGCCGTCTGTAAGATTCGAAGCCGCTTTATAAAGCGGGCCATCAGGCTTCGTCCACAGCCTTGCGAGTCGTATACCGTTCTTTGATGCCTGATGGGTGACGGCAACCAGGACTCCAAGACTGTGAGCTGTCAGAGTTGGCTGGAGGTGCTGGAAAGCGGTCGGAATCCAATCAAGTCCATTCCGCTTCCACGTTTCGTCGAGATATGCTATTGCTTTCTGCCGCTGGACCTCTTCCATCGAGGATTTCAGGCTATCGCCCTCAGACAATACTCCACGTGTGGCCAGTGAAACATTGTTTTTTGCCTTACCCCCACTCTCCAGAGTTGGTTGGACGTGTGCTCTCGAGGGCGTAATATCTGGACGAGACGTTTCACCTGCCTTGTGACTGACGCTGGCAGTTCCAGAAAGACTCGGGGCATCTTTGACGGCCTTGGGTGTTCCCCGTTTCGGTTGCTCGTCGGTAACAAGAGCTGCTGACGCAAGTGCAGAGCTTGAGACTGTGTGTAGAGCCCCTTGATGAGTCTTATGAAGTGGTGCCACAGATTGTGGATCAACTCTTGCCGAAGGGCGCTCTTCTTCAACTTCTTGGGAGCTCAATTCGACTGCCTTCATCCTTCTTTTCTTGTGAACTGGTTCTTCCACCTTGTCGGAGCTCTTAATGTCTTTGTAAGTGGACGGAACCATGCTTCCTTGGCCGCAGGGAGGGCTGGTCACAGCCTGAGATGCAGTAGTCAAACGCGCGGCTCTTCTGTTGATAGGGGGTGTCGCTTCGCAAAGAGCCCCTGGGATGGCGGTTTCCAGCTCGTCTTCCACACCGGCGCTGCTGGACGGAAACACTTCAGCTGGGCGGCGACGCTTGGCGTATGTAGGAGGTGAGAACTGTCGCTTGGTGGCTGGGATCATCGGTGGTAAAGACCGAATTTGAGGGCTGCTTCGCGTTCGCGGTGGCGGGGACTGGGAGATAATCCTTTCTACACCAGACGGAGCCTGGGTCACGATGACTTGTGACCTGATAGAAAACGCTGGAGAGGGGGTTTCTTGTAGCTCTCTTCCACGAGGTGGTCGTGGGGGAGACTCCGGCCAGGAGCTGACGGGCACCTCTGGCTCAGAGTCTGATTCATCATCTTGCTGATGGTTGGGCGTATTCTCAGAGACCGAGACTGATGCAGTTGGCCCACTGGAAACAGCTGCATTTGGCCTCTGGGCAGGTGGAGGTAGTGTCCGAGAGGTATGAAAATACTTAATTTGTTCAAGGACCTTTGGCGGGACTCTGGCGGCATTCTGTTGTGGGTTGTTCTTTAGAGCTGAGATCCACGGTTGTCTTCCACTGTCTGAAAAGATTGCTTGTTGATCCTTGGGAATCTTCACGAGTTTCCGAGGCACTTGAGCTCCATTGCGAAGCCCAAAGGGAGCAGACGTTATGGACTGTTCAGAGCTACTCGATGAACTAGTCATGGTGTTGGTGAGGATCGCACCCTTGAGCTAGGATGGAGAATTTCCGCATTCGCAATTGGGTTGCTAGCTGGTGTAACAAGCAGTATTCGGTGTAAAGACGAGGTGTTTGTTGCGATGGCGACTGACAAGGTGGCAGACAATGCCTTCAAGGGAAGATTAAAGATCCCGGAATGAATGGTGATGAATCAATAAGATTTTTGTCGACGGGTGTAATCAATGGCAGGAACAGGGCTGCTGTGAATCGTGAACACCAGAAGATGTCAATTGATTAACGCGACAAAGATACCAAGGTACTTTCGAGAAAACGCGTTTTTCGGCGTGTCCCTGGCTCCCTGTTGAATTCCCATGCTGGGTGTCCAAGGTAAAGTGGCAGCAACTGCGGGGTTCCTGGGCGGTACTGGAAAAGGCAGGATAGTGGTCCGAGCTTCGGAACTCGAGGTCCCCAAGTCCCCAAAGACCCAGGACCCAGGCGCTTTGAGTGTGGGTGGGCCAGCTAAGGTACCTATCTTCCTTTTGGTGGTGGGTTAAGGTACCTATTGGCATTGCTGATGCCGGGAGATATCGACGGGTACCGGGTACATCCACATTTGCCGCAATAGAGAAGGTAAGGTCGAGTACAGGTAGGTACCTTGAGCCTGGTAGGTACTCCGTAACGCCTTTTGCCTTGCCCAGCTTGCATTCCTGCAACGGGCTCTCATATGGACTGCTCGAAGGGCGTCTCAAAGTCAGCCATTCCCGAGGTATCGTTTACAACACTAACGCCTACTTTTCTGCGAAACGTTGGAGTAGGTACCTGCTGCGTTGTGCAGTATCTACGGCACCCCCAAGGACTTGCCAACTGCGCAGTGCCAGCTCAACCCAACCCCAACTTCGTTGCGTCGCTGCGTCATCCCACCCACGTTTGACGATTGTGCCGACTTGGTCATCGCAGGCCACGCGGGCCTAGACCTGGAAGGGATAGCGCTGCCTGGCTCACAGTAGTCTACGGATAGTCCGCCCTCTAAAACCCATCAGCGCCGTCTCCAAGACTGCTTGTTTCTGCAGCGCTGCAGACAACCTTACGCGGGGACCTACGACGACATCCCACACCCAATCTTTCTTCGCCCGAACATACACATACACCCAGAGCCTGACCTTCGCCACGTCGATTCTCCTCCTCGTCAGCTGTGCTCTTCTCATACACTGTATCTTGCCCGCGTTCTTTCCGAGACTACACCGATATACACCACGCTCTACTCCCCAAGTAGACATCGACAAAGAAACCCCTACCGACGGTAGCGAACCCCTCGCTTCTACGAACCACGAGTACATAAGCTAGACTTGGTCCGATTAGGTCGAGATTGACTACGGGGAGAAACTTTCGATTTCTCAAGACCCCCGGCGTATAAACTACATCCAGCGACCGTCGTCCATCATGTCAACCTGACATGAAAAGATGCTAGCGCTACACACGTTATAGACGACCTTGAGCTCAGTCTTCCACTTGTCGCATTCGTGCTCGCGCAAGATGGCGAGCAACAACACATCGAAGCCAAACTCTCCGGCAGTTCTATCCA